CTTGGAGTAGATCGCTCTTAGTTCGTTGATCCTTTGGGGCATCGTGAGAATCATCTCGCCAACTTCGAGATTGTGGGATTTTCGCCCACTCTTGCTTCAAAACTTGGAGTAGATCGCTCTTAGTTCGTTGATCCTTTGGGGCATCGTGAGAATCATCTCGTCAATTTTCTACGAAGCGAAAGGAAGATCTACTAGATATTAATTAAATTATAAATATATCAATTCATGTGAATATGACTGAAAAATTTCATTTTTTCTGAAAAGGTGATGTCTATTTACTTGTGACCACGCTGTGTATGTTTATGATCGGAGTTGCAGGTATATTAGAAGGTGGTCGAGGGAAGAAACTATGGGATCACAGAGTTGATCGAATACAGAAACTGTATACAATTTCTGTTTGAAATATACTTTGTTTCATAATATAAGGGTACAAATATATACAATTCTGAATCTTGAACTGAACTTACCAATAAATATAAAACGTGATTCTCGTAATGAGGATGAGACCCCGGTTTCATTATGTATAAATTTACTAACGTACTATGTATACAAATTGTAATTAAATAGTAATTCAAACAGAATCACGTGACGTTATACACATTTTTGAGACTTTTATCAATTTAACAAAAAAAAAAAAATCCAAGCATGGTTTAACGTGTACTAAATCATTATTGCATTAATTAAATTGGGGAAGTTTACATTCTTGAAGTGAAGGAAATTAAAATATATAAATTTGTAGATTTGAATTTCTGTATTAAAAGTGAAGCTAGCTACCAACAACGCTGTTGCAACAATTACTGTAATATGATTTTATTAGCGGATTGGATAACACTGATAGATTTTTTTTGTCTAGCGCAAAGCTACACAATGGACTTTCTGCGATCAGTCCACCATAGGGAATCGAATCGTGGATTTTAATGTTATAATTCTGTTGACTTACCGCTGACCCACCGGAGAACTAGTGAATTGGAAGTACGTGTACAAGATCAAACGGGTAGGAGGGCTATAATTAGTAAAAAGTCAAGAAGTGATATGCGTGTGAAAGGTTAATGGATATGGGTATTTCCACCACTAACTTTTATTATGTTTTAATATTGGTATTTATTAAATTAAATGTTTGAAAATGATTGTATTTTGCAAATGATAAACAGGTATTAACGTACTCGTATTTTCATTTAAAGATATATATTTGCAAAACTGAAGGCATTATTTATAGTTTTCAATTTACGTTAAGCAATTGGTATTTTTAAAGATGATTGTTTTATTTGATTTTTATTAATAGCGTATATTCAAAAGCTTAATTTACTAAAGCCATATTTAAATAGGATATTTTGATTATAATTTTTTGTTATACGAAATAAAATGAACCTGTAGTTTTCTTTAAAGAGGATATCTTTCATAGTTTTGTGTTTATGAGCAAATGTCATAGTTCAGTTAGTTTGTTTGTTGTCTAGTGGATACCATACCGGGCTGCGGATCAGATAGTCCAAGATTAGACTCACGAATGTCAGTGAACGCGTTCCTTCCATTTAGTTTTAGAAAATTTATACAAGTATCAGTCAGTCCTGCTATTCAGGTAAGAGTAGCCGCATATCAGACGATAAGTGCTGCAAACTAGTTGTCAACCCTTTGGTCAGGTCAGCATTTCTTGATTAGGGAAGGCCTTGCCTGAACTTTAAGGGCTTCTGCTATAAATGAAAATTTTAATTCGACACTTCTTTCATTATTGGGTTACAAACATCGTTACTACACCTTTTCCGATGATTTCCGAGTAACTAGAATATAGTTAGTGCTGATTTGATACTAGTTTACATCTGAAATATTCGAGTCACAATAACATTTATACATAATACTAAAAGTGAATAAATAAATGAGTTTTCGAACTAAATAAGGGAAAGTTTCGAGCTTTATAGGTAAGTGTCGACACGTGTATGGATTATAAGTTTTCGAATAAATGCAGACTTTTAAAGCGATAACTACTGAAATAGGCCTAGCCACAAGAACCTGTTATTTATTACTAAGTAGTGTCATTTACTTATGTTTACAGTTTCATTTGCATCATGTAGTTTTTACTCATCTAAATATCGTTAGATAAAGGTTATTTATTTTTTACATTGCTGAGCTCATAATGATATGAAGAACAAGGTGAGGATAGAGTTCAAGGCTAATATATACAAATTAATACTTGAATAAATAGTAAAACTATTATCCAAAATTAAAAGGCATTGTCTTGGTTGGAAGTTATGGTTTATACTCGCATGTAGTTCCATAAACATGTTACGTAACCAGTCCATAATATCTGTTGTATGTTTAAAGGAATGTCTCTTTAGTTCGATTGGCCCCCCAGTGGCACAGCGGTATGTCTGTGGACTTACAACGCTAGAATCCGGGTTTCGATACCCGTGGTGGGCAGAGCACAGATAGCCCATTATGTAGCTTTGTGCTTAATTACAAAACAAACAAAACAATTAATTCGACTGTAGTATTAGGTTTTTACTCATTAGGCAGCCACCAATTAAGCCGAGAAAGGAAATTTGTGAGAGGATTGAAAGAGTGCTTACATGAGCTATAAATGGTAAATACTAATGACAAGTCATTGCTTTTTAGTTATTAGTTTCTTTTCTTCACGTGGATTTAAGTGAATAAAAGATTACGTAGAGGCCTAATCTATACTTTGGATCGCTACTTCCACCGTAGCAGACTAGTTTCGTTGAGTTCACAGCTCATTAGCCTTATAATAGTTAGATTCCTTTTATTAAAGTTTCAGACCAGGTGAAATTTTATGGATTTTCTCTTGATGCAAAACAAGGATAAGTTGCTTATTCATACGAACTAAATAAAGACGCGCATTTTTTCATTAAATAATTGCACTATTAAACTTAACACAGATCGACATTTTTGAGGCGTCTTCCTTTCTAGTTGACTATAGAGGAAGAAATACATAGAACCAACTAACACACCAATATAAACTTTCACAGCGAAGAAAGTTTTTGGAAACAAGAATGTTTTTAGTATTGTGGCTTTCTTATTTAGATAAAACATAACAGAAAACTGCGAAAGAATGATAATTTAAGATACACGAAATAAAGGAATAACTTAATGTAAAAAAGGAATAAACCAAAGTTAAAGCCATAACGCCACTGAACATGATCCGCACTTTTACCTGTTATAAAAGTGGCAGTCAGTCCCCTTATTTTGTTTAATTCTTCTCGCCCTTAACAGAAAGATTTATATAAACCTAGGACTAAATACCATGCAAGTATAGACAATTACAAAAATATTTTTTCCCCACTTCCTAAATTATCATACCAGTTAAGACTAATTTAAACGAAACACTACACTACACCAAATAACTAAAATAACCTTTAATAATGGCTGGAGACGGTTTGAATGGGTAATGATGAAAAACTTTAATATAAGTTTAACCTAACAGCCAATGTACAACCTTGTCGAAACGTTGTACATTTGCTGTTATGTTAAACTTGTATTAAAGTTTTCTTCATTACCCATTCAAGCCGTCTCCAGCCATTATTAGTCTCAAAGTGGGTTCCTCGTCACCGAAATTAAAATAACCTTTGTTTACAAACCTTTACCAAAAGTACAAACAACATAAAACTTGCCTACTGTGTGGGGTAATTGTTCGTACTAAAATGTTTCTGTAAAAAAATCAGGTAAAAAACACCAAACATCAAGATTTAACGTTTGATTCAAAATGCTCTGGATTTTTAAGAACAATGCTACTCAAAGAGCTATCTGTGCTCTGCCCACCGCGGGTATCGAAACCTGGTTTTTGGTTTATAAACCTTCAGTCTTACCGCTGAGCCACCTGTAGGGGCGTTAAAAGGCTGTAACTAATAACATCTTAAATATTCAAAGTTTTCCATATTATGAACACAGAAGTTGATGCAGTATGAACATCAGAAACAATATTTTCAAAGAATTTTTGTGCCGGTTGTGACCGAATATACATATTGCTTGGCTGCGGATTGAACTAAAAGCTGAACAAACTTTATATTATCTACCTGAAGATGGTGACCAGGTATACCCTCATGGAGAGAAAGACTCATCATCTTGTATATAGGCCTGAAAAAATGTCGTTAAACAAATTAAGATATATTACAAATGATTTTTATTTCCTACTTGTATTAACTCAATACTATCTTGTGATATAAACATTATTTAAAAATGTTCTATGAATTAAAATATAATTAAAGGTTTTAAAATATTTTCATCACAAACCAATCATTAGTTAAGACACTTCATAATTTTGATATAATGGGTAAATAGTTCTGTAATTCTTGTACATAATACACTACACAAAGCGATTAAAATATTATAGGAATTTGTAATTTCTTAACTGTGACGAAACATAAAAAAAACACTATTGTAAATTGTCAGCTACCCACTCAATTCATTTGTATGCAACTCAGGCATCTGGTGTTATGCCATATGAAGAGAAATACATATTTACAGTTCATGACATCTGACTTCGAGATAAAGGCTTGTTACCAGAAATACGTAGAACAACGTGGTACTGATGATGCATGCCTTAAGACAGGAAGCCCTGAGGTTTTGTCTACCATTCCTCAGAAGGAACTGTTTGCAGAGCATCTGTAGTATGTGGAGTCACTTGCCACCATGCAATGTATCTCCAAAAAGCATCCTATACATGGCTGATGGAAATGAAGTTTAGTGACCATAAGGTGTTTTATTCCACCAATCTCTTCTTCTTCAAGAACTGGGAGAGGGTTATTATTTTATAGCAGTATTTTTGCTTTGTCGTAACCATAGATGAAGGAATGGTCAATAAATTCCTTAAATTTGCTGATGATATTAAGGTCTTGGATGTTGCCTGCTGTGAAGAAGATGCAGCTGCTTTACAAAATGATTTAGCTCATTTAGTGAGTTGGGTAAATAAATGGCAGAAGGGTTTTACTTACAATAAATGCAAGATAATGCATGTGGGTTATCATAATTTGAATTATACTCTTAATTTGGATGGGAATAAAATTAACAGTGTTATGAAAGAAAGGGATCTTGGTGTAATGGATGATCAGTTTCTTAAACTATCCAAGCAGTGTGTTGTTGTTAGTGGTAGGGCAAATAGGATTTTATGCTGTATCTACAGACATATTGAATACAAAGGTTTATAATTTCATTGTATAAGTCACTGGTTATTGTGTTCAGTCTTGGGTTCCTTACCTTTGAAAGTACATTGAAATGTTGAAAAGGGTTCAGAGGAGGATTATTAGAATGGTACCTAGGATGGAGGGTTTGTCATATGAGGAGAGATTAAGATCTTTAAAACTGTTTTCTCTTGAAAAAAGAATAGTTAGAGGGGATATGATTGAAGTGTTTAATATTGTAAAGGGAATTGATAGTGTTGATGCATCATACTTAAAAGTGAGAATAGTAGGACAAGGGAACACAAATATGATGTTGGGCAGGGTAGGAGTCATCTTCAACTAAGACAGTTTTTTTGAATTATAATGAATAATTAAAAAAACGTTGTTATTGTGTAAATATAAATCGTTGTTTTTAATTATTTATTATAATTTAAAAATATTTTAAACACAAGTGCCGGTAGTGCATATTTAAGACAGTTTTATTTTTCTAACATGACGGTTGGTCTCTGGAATGGTTTACCTTCGGATGTTGTGGAGACCGTAAATTTAAGTGAGTTTAAGAGAAAGCTTGATAACTATATGAATGATGAGGACTGACTTTAAGATTTTGTTTTCATATTTTAGTTTATCTATTTAATAGTTTTAGTTTAGTTTAGAGTGTGGGACTGCCGAGATGGACCAATAGGTCCCTTGTTGTTCCTAAACATTGTTATGTTTTAGTATTGGAAATTTTGATTATCCTTTAATTATTTTGTGCAGTGCAATTAACTTTCAATACGCTGTTCACTCATTAAACAAATTTTAAAATAAAACAAAACACAGCAATAAAAAAAAAAAACATTGGGGATTCAAAGAACATTGTTGCTTTGTATCCTATAGTAGAATGACATGAATTTTAAAAGGCGAAAATAAATGTAAATTGCAACTTACGACTGTTTAGGATTTGCAGTATTCAAGAAAAACATGCCAGGTCTGCTCCCATCAGGTGAACTGGGCACATAAAAAGCAGCTGTACTTTCAGTCATTGAAAGCGGGAAAGGAACAATACTGAAAAAAAAGTGATGCTCATTATTTTCAGATGGGCAAGCGGAAGAAGAACAATACTGAAACAAGTGATGCTTAATACTTTCATACGTTGAAAGCGGGAAAGAAACAATAATAAAAAGTAACAACTTTAAGACGTTGAAAGCTGGAAGGGAACAATATTGAAAAAAAAGAATGGCACTCATGCTTTTTCAAATTTTACTCGTAGATTAAACATATATGTATTTATGTTTTAAAGAGACAACTGTGCTACTTTACTAGACTACAGAAATCTATGAAATTTTGCAATAATAAGATTGTCCATGTATCATAGGATAATTTTTTCCTTATTTCCAAGCTGGTAGACGAAGACAACTAAATAAAGATTCAACATTTACAGTACAAAAGAAACAAAACGTGATGATATTTATTACAAGTAGAAAAAAAAAGATTAAGTACAAGTGAAAGTTTGTTCAAATGAGTTGGTTGGTTTCATGTTGAAAAACTATGTGGTCTAGTTGAGTTTCACAAGTTGGATGTTGGTGGAATAGTTTATTTATTACACTCAGAAACATAAATGAGTTTTTCTGAGTGGGTTTTTTTCGGGAGTATACAACCAATGAATATATTATCGCTTTGAGTTCTCAAACTCTGTAGAGAGATTGAAGTTTAATGTTTGTTTGTTATGAATTTCACGCAAAGCTACACGAGGGCTATATGCGCTAGCCGTCCCTAATTTAGCAGTGTAAGACGAGAGGGAAGGCAGCTAGTCATCACCACCCACCCCCAACTCTTGGGCTACTCTTTTACCAACGAATAGTGGGATTGATCGCACATTATAACGCCCCCACAGCTGAAAGGGCGAGTATGTTTGGTGTGACGGGGATTCGAACCCGCGACCCGCAGATTGCGAGTCGAGCACGTTTTTGTGATCTATACTATATCAACTTCACTTGTTGGTTGTTTGCCAATAAATAAGAAGGCCGAATCTCTGGTTTAAAATAATAAATCGTATGCAAAAATTCATTTCACCTACAGGATTTTAATTAAAAAATAATGTACTTACATTTTATCCTCGGAATATGAAAGGCCTAATTTGTTTTAAAGTTTTGCATTTGTGCCCAACTGATATATTTCAAAGCTGCTTACAAACCCTGAGTGAGGATTATCATTTTCTCTCTGTCTTCCGCTTTGAAGATGCAGTTTCCGCGACTGTGAATATCAGTATTATTACTGATGAAAATCTGAAGACATTAAACCTACATGAAAACTCCACGTGACTCTTACAAACGTGGTATAGTCCGATTTGTTTGTTGCACTACATAAAGTTCCCGATGAACATCGTTCATCAGTGACTGTATACAATTTGGAAACTGTAAATGTGGAATGAGTGCAAATCTGGTGCACGTAAAACCATCACGTGAATTTTATATGTATTGTAGTGAATTGATATTTGATGTTTCGCAAGGAGTATACATTCAAAACGACTAAAATTTGTTCTGTTTTGCAAAGTCGGAGAAATAGCACTGACTTAACTTTTATCCGTCCATTAGATGATTCCAGTCCCGTTTCGGCTGTTCAGAATAACAAGGATGGATGGATTTTAATACGGCTACTTACGACCTCACCAATTTTGTAGTATTTAAGAACAAAAATCCAGTATTTATACATCTTTTAAAGCAATATAAAGTGTGTCTTAAACCGAAAAGCTATACCCTACTGCCTTTGAGTGCAAAGCTGTAGTTTAATTAGATATACCTTAGGGTTATAGACTAGTGTCATGACTAATTTGGATGAGAAACTCTAGCTTAATTAGACAAAACCAGTGCCACGACTGTCTTGTAGATAGAAGCTGTAGCTTAATTACACAAAATGAGTTCCATGATTGTCTTGAGGTAGCGAATAGTTTAATTAGACAAAATCAGTGCTATAAATGTCTTTTAACTAGAATTTATAGCTCAATTATACAAAACCAGCGTGAGGCCTGTCTTGGTTGGTAGACTCGTGTCACAACTGTCTTGGGCTGGGAAGTTGTAATTTAATTATGCAGTACTAGTGCCATGGCTGTCTTGGTTGGGAAATGTAACTTAATAATCACACAAAACCAGTGCCGTGGATGTTTTGGATTGGAGACCTGTCATGGAGTGGGAGGTTATAGTTTAAACAAACATAAACAATGTCATAGCTGTCTTAGGGTGGGAAGCTGTAGTTCAACCACGAAAACTACAGTAGTCAACATTTGCTAGGGATCATGTTTTTACATAATAGGTACACTAATGTTAATTAAGGTCAGTTCTGAAAACAAAGACATAGCTTGGAAGTTCATTATCTGGACATTGTTTGCCAAGTGCAAACTTTCTGCCTGGGTGATTTTGATTGGATCCTGACTTTGTTTTCTGACCATACTCCCAAATTGAAAGTTCATACAGTGAAATTGTGAGGTCCTTAATATGAGATCACTGATAATTGCTTGCTAAAATTGGTCTGATTGAGGTTATGCAGTGCAGAAAATGCCTCGTTTAGGTCAAAGGCATCATCTTTCTCCTGCAGAACTTAACAGGGCTGTTGGGATGCTGCAGGGAGGCATGACACAATGCAGGGTTGCTGCTGCTCTTGGCACATCCCAAAGTGTGGTGTCCAGGGCCTGGAACAAGTTCAGACGGTTTTGCAGAGTCAATAGCAGACATAGTGAAGGAAGGAAAAGACTAACAACTCCACAACAAGGCCACTACTTGACCATCCAGGCTCAAAGGAATTACTTTGCTCCAGCTGTTAACTTCATTAACTCCCTCCAAGATACCACAGGAGTCCGAATGTCTACACAGACGCCTTCACGAAGCTCCGTTGAGAGCTAGACATCCAACTGTTCATGCTCCTTTAAGCCGACAACACAGGCAGGCACGACTGCAGTGGGATAGAGATACTATGTGGACTTTCTTAGCAGACGCAGAAGAGCTTGGAGATTCCCTGGTGAGCGCAATTTGTCTCAGAATGTCATCGAACACGATCTCTTTGGAGGAGGCTCAATCATGGTGTGGGGAGGCATCTCAATTTCAGGCCGTACCAACCTTGTAATTATCCGAAATGGAAGTCTCACCAGTTTAAGATACAGAGATGAGATCCTTGCACCCATTGTTCATCCATATGCAGGTGCAACATGGCCAGACTTCCTGCTTATGGATGACAATGCGCGTCCACACCGTGCAAGGGCAGTGACTGCCTTCCTGGAAGCTGAAGGAATTCCCAGGATGGAGTGGTCAGCTAGGTCTCCTGACCTCATCCCAATAGAGCACATCTGGGAGCAGCTACAGACAAGGCTTCAAGCTCGTCAAGCTAATGTGATCATGAGCATACACAGACGTTGTGCAGCAGTCATTAATGCTCGAGGTGGTCACACAGGCTACTGAAATCATCTTGACGGTGAATTGGACACTTTTTTTCAATGACAGTTGATTTTGAAATTTTTCTTGTTAACACTGTACCACAGGGTGCATCAGTTCCCCAGGCTCTGTTATCCAAGTAAATTTTACAGAATTTAATAAAGTATAAAAATGTCTTATCCAGGTGTTTTTGTTCTTAAAATGTTCAATCTATACATATTATTGTGGTAAGTGTTTCACATACACTCAAAAAATGATCCCTAGCAAATGTTGATTACTGTATTTAAAAGATTTAGCGTTCCTTGACGAAGTTTAAGTAACCTTTTTAACTCGGAAAACTTTGCTTTTATTTATACACATGACGTTCTCTACATTATGCAGAACCCTCTCGTGATAGTTTTTGTTCTTTGTAAGTATTAGTTATTAAACTTGTTTAAAACATCATTAAATTTACATTTTGAGGGAATTTTTTATGAATTTTGTTTGTTTGTTTAGCACAAAACTACATGGGGTATCGAAACTCAAGTTTTAATGGTATAAGCCATCAGATTTACCATTGAGCCACCGGAGGGGGGCATTTTATAAAGAGTATGAAGAATAAATCAGTATTAACCATAAAAACATGGTGGGTATGAAACTCTGGGCCAAAATGTATGCATATTTAGTAACAAATAGGATCATTATTATTAAGTTGGCATACAAATACACTTAGCACCGTCAAACTGAGAATTGCATGTTAAACATCTACATATCTAATTTGTACAATGAGACAGATTCTATGGACATCCCGAACGATTTATAAGAACAGCAAACATTTTTATCAGACGCCTGTAGAAAGATGGGTAATTCAGTATTTGACCTATCACAACGAAACCTTACCAAAACACATATAATGACAAAAATGTAACATCAAATTATTACAAACAGCGTCTGTAACCTTATATCAGTTCATATTAAATATTCAGTTCTTGGTTGGTCGTTCTCGCACTCTAGTAATCTGCGCCAGGTGAGACATGTTGTTGATGAGGTTATTGATATACTCCTTCCTGATTTAATCTCAACATGTCACTAGCAGGTGCTGCAACTCGGCTTCAGTAGCTGGTTTATAGTCGTGGTTAGCAATTTTCCGGGATCTTAATGGGATTTGCTGGCCATGGCAATATTGTAACGTTCTTCTGTTCGAGATAATCTTGTACAATACACTCACTGTGGGCAGTGACATTGTCATCCTGGAAAACAAAGTTATTGCCAAACCTTGACCTAGCATATGGCAGAAATATTGTCTCCACGTGATGCCTGTAGGAGGTGCCATTGACGTTTCCCTGGAGGATATGAAGAGCAGTTATTCCACCATGATGAATAGCTGCTCAAACATGAACTGCACCACCTTCTGTGGAAAAGACAGTCTTCCCTCATCTGTTCTCCAAGCAAACGACGAACACGAATCCTACCATAAGTTTTAAGAAGCCTGAAACAAGACTGGTCTGAAAAGATGACATAGTGTCCTAACTGTAAGTTGGCATGCTGTCTTGCCAAAGTAACACGGTGACAGCGGTGAATTCTGGTTAATATTGGTTTTCAGATAGTCCTTCTTGTAAAATAACCTTGTTTGGTCAGTCTTCTCTTCACTGTTCTTCTGGATACGCTGGAATGAACGTGTTTATGCCATTCCTTTCGTAAGGTTTTGAAAGACTTCTTTCGATCTTGACATGTTAACCTGATCAAAATACGGTCATCTCGGGCAGTAGTTTTTCGGCGTCTACCAGTAGACTTTCCTGGAACAAAGTTTCCTGTAGTCCAATGAAGTTTTAGGATTTTGGATACAGTACACTGGAGTACCCTACTGTTCTGACAATGACCGTTTGCTTCATACCGTTTTTGGACAGTCGAACAAATTGACACCCTATAACTTTTGGCACGTGACGAGGCATAACTTTACACTAAGTACAAATAAATTGTCTGAACAAAGCGTTGATCGTTTCGAAAATGATTATACCAAAAGCACACCATTTTATACAAAACAGGTGTGTATGTGTTTTTTGACGAACAAATGCTCAAAACAACTTGTACAGACCACAATAACAACTCGTACATGTTTGTCCGATCATATGCTACCTTCTGTGTTATACTACTTGGGAATTTAGTCAATATCTATCCATGCATATAGAGTGTAACATCAATATAGAACAGTATGCAAACTTTTTGGCCAATACTTTACAAACGAATATGTTGTTTTGCTCTAAATAAATGCGAATTACGTTATAGGCTTTATATAGGTTTTACAGAAATTACACGTCAAACATAGTGATAAGATGTTGAGCTACTACTTTAAGTTAAGTAATCATATTTAGATTGGTTAAATGTTTAATTTTTAGTCGCCCTCTTGTGGATTAGGGATAAATCAGTGGACTAAAAATCGAATTTCGATACCGCCCGTGCGCAGAGTACAGACAGTCCATTGTGTAGCTTTGTGCTTTACAACAAACAAACAAACAAAAAATAATAATTTCTAATCGTAGAAAAACACGCGTGAAAAATGTTGAAATAAACAGAAACATTAAGTATTACATACAGTAGTTTCGTTTTAGGAACCTCCTTGATAACCTGTACTATCTTAGGTTCAATCTGATTTTCCACAGTGTCCTTGTAAGCTTGAAGAAGTTCTTGCTGGAATAGAGCAAAAAATACAGAAAATATTAGAGGTAAGTTCAACTAGTTATTGCAACAATCATGATTAAGTCATGCGTGAGTGCTTTCAAATATTTACACAATTTATTAAGTTGTGTCAACAGTTAATTTTTAATGCACTGGACTTAATAGAATTAAATATATTCAACATCGCATTTTTACTCCCCTCCCCCGCTCGTTCTTAGATTACTGACTGAATTCTGTAAAGACACTATCATGCGGGGTTGCTTGTTTTAACTACTTCAACCCTGATATCCGGTTAGATAGTGTTGTTTACGGGTAATCTTCCAACTTTTAACATAGCTGTGTTATCAGCTGGAGCTTCGTAGTTATGCTAATTATTCAACGCAGTCTACAGTTGGTTAAAATATCATTCTTAACGTGGTCCCTCCAAATATTCTGGGTGGAACAGGAACATACTATAGTTTAAATCTAGTTTGTTCTATTTGGACAGCCACCTTCCTGTACACTACTTAGAGAATGTACTTAGGAAATTTTGGTTTTCGAAAGCTCAGATTTTTGTGCCAGAAACGGATGGTAAAAAGAGAGTTAAGATGAGATATGTGTGCCAGAAACGGATGGTAAAAAGAAATATGTGTGCCAGAAACGGATGGTAAAAAGAAATATGTGTGCCAGAAATGCATGGTAAAAACAATTAGAGATGTGTGCCAGAAGTGGATGCTAAAAACAGTTAGAGATGTGTACCAGAAATAAATGATAAAACAGTTAGAGATGTGTACCAGAAATGGATGCTACAAACAGTTAGAGATGTGTACCAGAAATGGATGCTACAAACAGTTAGAGATGTGTGCCAGAAATGGATGCTAAAAACAGTTAGAGATGTGTGCCAGAAATGGATGCTAAAAACAGTTAAAAAGAGCTGCCATATGGTACACTTGTTCTTGTAAACCTTTGTTTTATGTACGTTACACAGATGAAAAACAAAGAAACACATGTCAGTAATACTTTTAAGACTGCATCAATTATTTTACAGGTTTTCCAGTCCGCTCCATTGCTATTTGGGCACAAAATCAGCGCGACGGCTGTCTTGGTTGGTAGACCCGTGTCACGAATGTCTTAGGCTGGGAAGTTGCAATTTAAACATGCAGCACCAGTGTCATGGCTGTCTTGGTTTGGAGATGTGACTTAATGATCACACACAACCAGTGCCGTGACTGTTTTGGATTGAAGAGCTGTAAGTTTATTAACAAATACCAGTGTCACATCTGTCTTGGAGTGGGAAGATATAGTTTTAACAAACATAAACAATGTCATGACTGCCTCGGGGGGGGGGGGGAGTTGTAGTTCAACCACCAAAACTATTTAAAGACTTGGCTCTCCTGGACGAAGTATACGAAACCCTTTTTTTAAATTTTGGTCAAGTTTGATTTCGCAAAATTTATTTATTTAAGTTAGCTGTGAAATGTGAGGTTAGGGCATACTATGAGGTGGGGTGTTAAGTACTTGCCACGTCATTTTTGACTTGCTATACGCTAGAACAAATATTAATCGATGCTTTTAAGTAAAATGTCGTTATCATATATTGTCTTACAATTTGTAAAAAAAAAGAGATCAAATCAAATGCTCTTTCTATGAAATATCTTATTCAAGTCTCGTCATGCCACGTAAATTTCATTTTTCACACTTTTTTTCTTTTTTTTTATTGCCCCTCCCCTAGTGGCTCAGCGATAAGTCTAAAGATTCATAAGAGGGTTTCGATATCCTTGGTGGGTATAGCACAGTTAGCCCGTTATGTAGCTTTATGCTTTGCTACAACCAACCAACCAACCTACCTTAATTTTGATTATAAAACACGACGTCATTGGTCTTGCATTTCTGACTTTTTGCTCACGTCATAGGTCTTGAGTAAGTAGAGTAGCCAGTGAAGTATTTCAAACTTAGTTGTACCTAGGTTCACCTGTTTATAGTTCTAAATATATTGATGTGAACCGCTTAAATATTATAATATTTTGAGAACTGTTTCTTTAGCATCTAAAACCAATATTCATACAGATCTACTATTTAATACAAAGTATTTTACTAGTGTTAACCATTATTATAGAAATGACATCAAGACTAACCTGTGTCTTGAAAAAAAATTGAGGATCGTTTCTTAGCTGTTCCAGAAAATCTGTTCGAGACAAATTGGATCCGAGGCTTTTGATCACCTAAGTTTCGAAATTTAGATATACAATATTTTAGAAATACTTGCTGGATACTTTTGTAAAAGAAAAATACAAACAAACTGTACTTTTAACTAAACTTTTGAATGTCATCGGTCGCAGTAACCAAATTCGTAGAAATAAAACATCATATACATAATTACATAAATCTGAACCATACGCTCCAGTTTCCACATCTTGAACATAATTATCGTCCTTTCAGCAATAGTTGAGTTTACCGATAAAATCTCAATGTTTAAGATAATATACATTTTTAATTATTATCGCTATATTTTTTAAATCCCTGTGGTGATTCAACGGAAATCTGAGGGCATATAACGCTAAAAATCCGGTTTTGAAATCCACGATCAGCAAAATACAGATAGCTCACTGTATAACTTTTTGCTTAACAACAAACAAACAAAATGCTTTATAAAACATTTTTGAAAATAAAACTTGAATTTATCATCCAGCAAGAGTCACTTTTTTAGTGCTAGTTTAGATTGTAGTCTTTAATAATTCTATTGAACTATTTAAATATGTACTCGTACGTATTTATTCCAAACTTCTTTCATTGACCTTTGCTCTTAAGATAAGCTTCTCGGTTACCCAGCAGTAAGCTTGATGTCGTATAACGCTAAAATTCGTGGTTCGAAACATGCAGTCGGCAAGGTGCAGATAACTCACTATGCAAAATGAAGCTTACCGCTAATAATTGATATGTGCTTGAGAAGTAGTGCTTTAAAAGCACGATATAAAAGACTGTTTAGTTTAGGTATTGATTGATTTGTTTTTGTGAGTGAATATTTTATTATTGTTTAGTTTTTGTTATAATAAGAGTTTAGAGTAGACGATTGTGGGAGGTTTTGTTAATAATTCATTGATGTTGAGACTACTGAACGTCGTGCAATACACTGACGTCGAGAATATAGAATGCAGACAGACGATTAGGTGATAAAGATATAAATAGCATGAGACGGATAACAGCAGACAGATAATAGTAGAAGAAAGTATAGTTGCAAAAGGAAAAGTCAAATACCGTACAAGTGATTCGCCTAACGATTGACATAGACCTAATATCTAATATGTTAGAATATGACTAACAGTAGAAAAGAAGATAAGAAAACTAATTTATTCCGTCAAAGCGTGGTTCTAAAGTAATTGAATCAGCCTGAGTACACTTTGACAAAAGGAAAAGAGGATCTTCAGAATAAAGAAGCCCAAACGATTACGGTAGCTTGCGCAACAACTGTAAGTGAATCACATACAGAATACTAGTGCAACAGAAATAGAGAAGATAGTTCGGCTTGTCAACAGAAATTCTAAACTAATTGAATAGGCCTAAGTGGATTTTTGACAAGAAGGAGAGAACTACATATATAGTATTTATGATATGCCATAATATCTATAGTGTTGAAGAATTTATTGTACATACGTTAACTTGTTCCGAATATGAATATTATTTAGAAAACAAGTAAAGTAGTGTGCTGTT